ATAACGCGGGGTAGAATAATTATTTCCCAATTCCAGAGAATAATTTAAATCTACTCTCAATTGACCTCTTTCCATTTTGGCTTCCGAAACCCCCAAATAACGCAAAAGATTTTGTAATTGCTTGATAAATACTAAAACGGTTTCTACTTGGTGAAAAACTGGCTCAGTAACTAATTCGATTAAAGGATTACCGGCCCGATTAAAATCTAACTTAATTTCCTCTTTTGAATAAGTGCTTTTGGCGGTATCTTCTTCTAATTGCAGCGATTTTATAGATATTTTTTGAATCTCGTTTTTTTGGATAATTGGTAAATGGCCTGCGGTAGCAAAGGGGGTTTCTTGTTGCGTAATCTGATAGCCCTTGGATAAATCAAAATAATTATATATTTTGCGGTCAAAGAGAATTAAAGGACTAATTTTCATACTCAAAGCCGCAGCCAATTTTAGCCCCAAAAGAACAACTTCGGGATTAATTATAGGTAAAACCCCTAAATATCCCAATTCTCAAGGTCCAACTTGGCTGTTGGGAGAGATATCTCCTTGGTAAGTATTTTCTCAGTTAAAGATTTTTTTTTGGCTATTAACTGTAATATGAACTTCTAAACCCAAACGAATTTTCGGTTCTGCTGTTGATAAATTATGCATTACTTATAATATCATTTTACTAATAAGAAAGCCGAATTTCAAAATTGTTAATCGCTGCTATTCTCTCGAAAAGTTAAATAACGTTCATAATTTTGACATAAAATAATTATATGAATCAAGTATTTACAGGGACGGTAATCGGTCTCAAAAATGCCAAAACGGCCACAGTGGAATTAGTATCTAATAAATTGCACCCTAAATATCATAAACCAATCAAAAGTAAAAAAAAAATCCAAGCCCATAATGAAAACCATGAATTACAATTAGGGGATAGAGTGATAATTAAAAGTAGCCGTCCCTATTCGGCTACTAAAAGATTTTTAGTGATTGAGAAAATAAAAGCAGCAACTCCGCAGGAGCCAGTAAAATAATGCCCGTTGTTTGAATAATACTGTCATCCCCTTATTTTTACTTTCCACTGACTTGATTTTTGCCTAAAAAATACAAAAAAGGCTTTTTTTCTTCTTTTTCACTTTGTCAGTCATGATTTTTCTCTATTTCTCGTTAATGGCTCTTTTTTATTATTTTAATTTTCTGCGTGACCCGAAAGGACTTAATGCTCTTATTTACGGAATTTTTGCGTTTATCTCGTCTTTTGCTGTCCTTCTTTTTTTTATGCGCTTTTTGGGTGGATACAATTAGCATATTTTTTTTTTCAAAAAACCCTCTAATTTTTGCAATTGTTCCTTTTGTCTAATACCTAATCTTTTTTTGTCCCTTAACTTGACTATCTTTTTTTTGAGACTTTTTTGGCTTTCTAAACTGCCACCGCTCCATAAATGATAAACTACCAGAGCATCTAATTGATGCAGACTAATTTTTTTTTGCCGGTATTTTCAACCTCGACCATTTTGGTAAGTTAAGTTTTCAATCTGTTCTTGGCCGCGAAAAAGTTTGGCTTTAAAGGGTTTTACTTGATTAACCGCCACGCTATCTATTTTCTGAATAAAATCAAAAATATATTTCAAAGCCGTAATGCCTCCAATCAATTTATAGAGACCGACAGTTCCTTGGTGTTGTCGGCCATAAAGAAAAGTAGTATTTTCATAAATAATGTTGTCAGGTTTTCATTCTTTCACTAAATCTACAATAAAATTCAAATGTTCCTCTCATTTTTTACTTTTATATTCAGAAAATAGGGCTTTTGATTTAGT